GAGAGAGAGATAGAAACACCAATGATGAGAGAGTCATTGATTGGCTGCATCCAGCAATCCGGGCATGTGCCCTGACCAGGAATCGAACCCGGATCGCCTGGATCCTAGGTCAACCGAGGCTCAACCGCTGAGCCACGCCAGACCCACTGACTCCTTTTCTATGGCAGCTCTGGGTAACTAGTCCCCATTTTCATTTGGGGAGAATCTTTATTTCCACATCTTTGAGTTATTGTGATAGGGGTACAAGGATAGAATAAAAATGTGATTAATTTTTTTTCTGTCTAATTCTCTTTCTCTTTCCTTTTCCTCCCTTTTATGAACAAAATGTGTAAGTAATTGATTAATCAACTGTATATGGTTAACCTTATGTTCTGGCTAAGAGTTGTTCAGTTCTCAGAGTTGACCAGGCAAGAACAAAGAGACTTTTGTCTGGCTGGCGTTGCTCAGTGGTTGAGCATTGACCTAGGATCCAGGAGATCGAGGTTCGATTCCCCGTCAGGGCACATGGCCGGGTTTCGGGCTCCATCCCCAGCAGGAGGCAGCCAATCAATGACTCTCTCATCATTGATGTTTCTCTCTCTCTCTCCTCTTCCTCTCTTTGAAATCAATAAAGATATATTTAAATTAAAAAACACACACAAAGAGACTTTTAACACAGCCCTGAACTCACACTCCTGGCCACCAGGAACTCGAAGGCTGATGGATTAGGTCTCAGAAACACAGGGATGACGCCTACCGGATCGAGATCGCTGCTTGACTGGTTTCAGAACACCAACCATCCTGTTCCTGGGACCAGTAATGAAGGCATTCCAGACCCAAGACCCCTCAGGGACTCAAATTTCAAGAGTGCAAATCACCTGAACCCCCCTGTACTCCCTACCCACATCCCCCTTTCCTGATTCCCCTATATAATCTTAATCCTAACAAGCTTAAGGGGAAGATGGATGTTAGGGTTTACCTGTCACCTTCCCAGATTTCCTGCATCTGATATTATTAAACACACACTTATAATCCAATCCCTGTCTCTGCTTTTTGGTTGGGTAGTGACAGGTAGCACAAGTACCAGGCTCGGTTGACCTCTGCTTTCCTTTGGTTTTTTAATCCTCACCTGAGAATATTTTTCCCATTGCTTTTTTTTTCCCCCAGAGAGAGTGGGAGTGGGAGAGAGAAAGAGAGAGAGAGGGAGAGAAACATCGATTTGAAAGAGACACATTGATTGGTTGCCTCCAGCACGTGCCCTGACCTGGGCTGGGGATCAAGCCTGCAACTGAGGTACATGCCAAGCCTTGGCTGGAATCGAACCCAGGACCCTTCAGTCCATGGGCCAACGCTTTAATCACTGAGCTAAACCAGCTAGGGCTCTGGTTTCAATTGTGGCGGAGAGAAGAAGACATATGCAAAGAATGTTTTATGCTTAATAATGAAGAGCAGAATTTTGAATATGGTATGAATTCAACTTTGAAAAAGATAAATACAGAAAAAAATAAACACCAAAATACTGAGTAGTAGTCTTAAGGACTAGGAAAATTGTTTTTCTACTTTTCTGTATTTTTTCCTCCTTTTGAAATAAATATGTAATCTTTTTAAAACTCATACATATATTTTTTTTCTTGAAAATTCTAAGAAAGACTTGATGAATGGTTCGTTACACTATATGACTTGGTAAGCAGTTTAAAAAGATATAATATACAGAAAATACATTAAAATTTTCGTTGTATTATCCATGTCTTATTTAACATTACTGTTGACAAGAGGAAAGTTCTGAGATGTCCTAAATTACAGCAAGCTGAAAATGTTG